ATAATATTGTGGCTGATAGTATTGATCAAAATGTCAATTAATTATTCGCCGAGTTCGAAAGCGATATACGCCGCTCACCAAGTCAGGTGGTTTTCCCGACCAAAACCGAAGAAAATACTAGAGAGGTTTAATCGTTACAGTGTACTCCCATAGGACGTTCTTCAAACATACAACAAACCACGCAAATTTTGCAGGTTTGTCAAACCTGGGCCTCCGTCAGAGAAACAAACTTTCATCGATGGTTGGAATACTTGGCGACATAATCCTCAGCAATAACCCCGTGGTACCAGTTCAGTTTACTAATCAAAAGTGCTGAAACTCAGACCGTTTATGGAGGGAAGTCCCATGTCATTGTTTCGTTTGCAACTACGCTAAAAACGTGAAAACTGTTCCCTGCTGAAGGTCTTAAAGAAAATATAGTGATGGTACGTAAGCAGCAAGCATAAAAAAGCATCCTCTGGATAGCCAGTATGACCCGTTTTCAGGCTGAATCTTATAGTAAATGACCTTACTAATATTGAAAAGAGTAAATAGCAACTATAAACGTCCGTATCCACAAAAAATATTGCAGGAAAGGAACGCATATAACTATGGACAAAGAAAATGTTTGGACACCCCATATGACTACAAAGAAATTGTAATACACAGTGTCGTTAAACAAAATTCCACCGACCAACATTATCACAATTTAAACGGCAAAAATTTGGCTAACATACGAATCAGTAAATTCAAAACCCAATGCGCTCATTTTACTCAAGCGTAGGAGCAAATGCGAAAATGGCGCGACCTGAAATTCTCTAAGCCAGTTTACATTTCATAACGACGTTAGAAAACGTACATAATGTTTCCACAAAAATTATAATAGAAATGTTTCACTATATGACCATAACAGAGAAGCCGCGTACACACGGAAAATCACGTAAAGGCTCAAATGTGCCGTCCATAGTTATGTTATTCGTGGATACGCTTTACAATAGTCGCCGATGTATAGTGCGGCAGGAGTCATTTAGATCATCTAAAATAATACCTGGCACTTAGCGCCATACCCAATGATCGTTCATTTGCATCGGACTGGATTTTCTTTAATAATTATATCGTTCATAGACCCCCCAATGTGTCAGTTTCAATGAATGAGAGCTGATCATTCAGAATGACCTAAAAGTTAGATATCAAAATTACGTAATGGCTTGTTCACAGCTGGCAGTAAAATATGTTACCCACGCGCGTCGTTTACTCCTGCTAATATACTTGCTTCTGTAAAGGTAATAATCAGTTGGATGCGAGATGGGAAGCCGACCCACTGCACAAGATTGTGTGCAAAATTACGGTGAAGATGCAATTCTAGTATTTTAACTTCAACCCTAGCCCTGACATTAATCATAACCATCATATTAACGCTTGTATTCCTAACTCTGCCAGTAACATTTCTAACCCCCACCATTTCCGTAATCCTAGACCTCCCAAACGTTGCACTGGCAATAACCCTCCGGTCGCTCATCCTACATCTAGCCCTTGCATAAACACTAACTAAACCCTAATCCACCTGGTGTTTAGCGCTAAAAACGTATAATACCAGGGCAATGATTCTCGTACCTACTCTTGCATTTTTCCTTGTCGTAAAAGGCTGTCCCCATTAAAATGCTATCCTCTGCAATACTGCTTTGACACTTAAACACACGTCTATTTAGGTCACGATAACTAATGCATGTTCGTGAAGGCTGCAGAGAGCAAAAACTAAATACCATTATGGCCATATCATGATGTAAACGAGAGCACTTGTGACTGAATTGAAGCAAAGTATCGAAGCAGAAGTCTCAAGCAAATATGCACAATCCGAAACTAACGATTGCATAACGACTGTCTGCAAACAGTGATTGGGGTGAGGCGTATGAAATGTGTAAAACCGAACAATAACAGCCCAGCTAATTGCACAAATTCGAAATGAGAAAAAATAAACATGCCCTAGATAACGGCCATTCACATATCTGGCGCAAATACCTCAAGGAGTAAACGTCGAAGTATTAAATGTAAGAAAACCGTTCATAAAAATATATAAGACCTGATGTAGTGAAGGGATACCAATGTCCGCAAGCCACACGATTCAGATAGCGATGACTAGGAGACGATTGGTCATAATGACCAAACATTAGCTTGATTCCACTTGAAGTTGGTAAGTCTAGGTATTTCACACGCATCAGGCATTTCAAAAAGTTTTATCAGTTCTAGTAGCCTTGAGCGACTAGGGAGTTATTGATCATACTGACTGATTTTCACTCTGCAGTTACCTGCGGTGGCTACTTGGAAGCGGATAAAGGCAATATTACCAGTCCTGGCTACCCTGATGAGTACCCGCAAAGAATGGAGTGCGATTGGAAGATTGCAGTACCTGATGGATTCGCCATTGTTCTCACATTCTCGCGTTTTGAAGCAAGTGTCAATCTGATCATTAACTGTGTTTACTTAAAGGCGTATTTGGTTGAGCAAATATCATGAAAGCATCAGCCAGGTGAAATAAATGTCGGGCTTTGCGCATATTTGCTGTTTACTGTCTAGTGGGCACCAGGACATGAATTCTGTTCAGCGTATATATGAATCTTTCACATTCGGGCCGATTTGATGCCAAGTAATTTGTACTCGCCAGTGGCACTCTTCCAAATAATTATGCTAGCGTTGTGGTCGGCATGGTGGGGCATGCGCACAAATGATCTGCCCAAATCCATCTCATCATACTGAAGATTGGTAAATGGCGATTTGTGCGAATGCAGTTTCCAAGTGTGGCCCAGTTGTAGTACTCCTTTTTCTGCCGGTTGCAGAACATATTTTTGGGCTCATGTCGAATATAATTGGGGCCTCAAATAAGGCCTATTAGCCATGCTGATGTGGTTTCGACGGCTACAGTCAATGCTGCATTGCCATCTGACTTATGTTTGTTGGTCCAAATATTTGCAGATACCCTTGGCTCATCGCACTCCCAGGCACTTACATCAGCTACTGCAAAAACCTACAATTGGAAATTTCCTTTGCGGTACTTTGGACCGCGGTGGTCTGCGCAAACAATTGATCATTGTCTTGGAGCAGCGTTTGCGACCAATGTCAGTGGACTGTAGCGAGCATTCGGTGGCTTCTTAGGGAGCTTCATTCCCCGAGCAGTTCACAATGCAGTACAGGTTATATTAGTGTGTTCTATGCAGGGTCATGTGGAAAGGGGATGGAGAGGACGTACGCATTGGAAATATGACTGTTGCCATAAGCACTAGTGTATTTAAAGCAGTGGTCTAACTTATGCACTGTCAACCGAAAGTTCCTAAATGCATTTCCGTTTTGACAAGACTTATTAAGTAGGCTTGTAAAACTCATCACCATGCACTACAGTTCTTTAATAATTCAGTTATCTCGGGAACCCTGCTACCGAAATTACTTTCTTCTGCATGCATGCAAAAACTATACACTGTAAAAATGACTTCCTATGCAACTTGCATGGTTCTCATTGCTTTTCTCCGCCCTTCCAATTTCAATTAGATTTATTAGAAAGCATGCATGAAATATTCATTCGTTTGCTCGTTTACTAGAAAATCACGTATTCTTCCAATTTTATACTCGAATGAACGGTGTTATTCGGTTTTCCAAATCTTTTGCAATATCTGAATATTTTCGAACTTGACCTGTTCTTACACGTGCATCCAGGGTTTCCAAACAACAAGCTGTGACTTTCCACGTGCAGATAACCATACATTCCTTAATGGTATTAAGAAGGAATTATATGGTGTTCATAAAATTTGGAATTGTATTTGAGCCATTCTGTTAACTTTACAAGGCACCTTGGTAAGTGTAGAGACATGAAGATTTATGAACGGCCATTTCACGATATTAAAAAATCTCACAATTAGAAACTTTTTCAAAACCATGTTATACCCGTTCTTCGGGGATACAATTGGAAGACGAGGTTATGTACTACTGAACGGGAAAATGGATATATTTGTGCATGATTTATATGAAATATAATTGTATGCTTGATGTCATAGAAAAGTAATGAGAAAAATGTATTAAAGAGTAGTCATTTTTTATAGAGTATAATTTTTGCATGCAGCTGGAAAGAAGTTCGTTCGGAAACCGTCGTCCTGAGGTGACGATGAGTTCTACCACCCTACTGAATTAATCTTTTCGAAACGAAAACGGATTTAGCAATTCCGGTTGACATTTCATGAGGTAGACCACCTACTACATACTTCGTTCTATTTAATGGTGAAATGGACAACAACTCAGCAACACGTTTCCTGTGGACGACTCCGATTTGGGGCTGAAATCATTGTCAGGCTTGCTATACTCCGCACACATCAGTCTAGAGCTTTCACGACTGCGCCCTGAGATGAGGATTTTGAAGAGGTGTCTGCTTCCTTCGATGTCATTCCCTCCGGGAAATGATGTTTTGATTCTTTTGTAAAGGCTACGGAACCTGCAGCCGGATGGTAACGACTATCAGCAGAGCTGTAAATCAGGAATGCGTGCTTGCCTGAGGCGAATAAGTGAGCTCCTTGCCCGGTATAGCTGCCACATGGATGGGAGAGAGCATGGTTAAACGTCTGAAATTTCGTAGATTAGTGTTGTAATAATTTCCATCTTTCCTCCCTGCATCTAGAATTGTGTGTTTGCTTCAAGAATTTTCCGCAATGTTAGTCAATTCATAGTAAATATTGCGACCACGCAAATTCCATTGTGCGGCGTCCTGTCATCAAGTGAATTTTCCCTATTTTTCATTCTCAACTAAACAACTTGTCCACACTTACCCGCGTAAATCAACACTGCGAATACCTAACCCTCTGGCAGTCATTGTTGGCGAATGTCGGTCTTAAAGACAGCTTGCATGTTTTCAGCTTTTTGCGGAGGACGACTGCCCCTACAATTACTTAGCAATATATGATGGTCCTTCGGACTCTTCACCCTTGCTTCACAGATTATGTGGGACTCAAATGCCAGCACCCATAAAGTCATCGACTAACACCATGACCGTGCGCTTTGTTGTCGATGGTGTGCTCGCCAGGAACGTGTTTGTAGCAACTTTTCGGAAAGGTAAGTGTCCTTGTCCTGCACGGACATTTATGTTCCGCGGCGCATCTTTTCTAAGCCTTTAGGGGGTTACATGTGGGCCTGACGGCCAATGTTGATGTGTTGTGCAGTTTAGGCTGTTACCTATTTGCGCATCGGCAATGATAGCCAGATTTAATTTGGGGGTATGACAATTTACTACATTCATGGTATTTGACTAGCGTTTTATCGTTGCAAACGTGGTGCCGATTCACAAATCTAAGACAGTTTTCGTTAAATCCTAAATCATTCCCTTCAGATGCTGTGCACGTTAGTTTGCTTTTCAATGGGTTTTCAAACTCGATGTCATTTACATTCATCATTAATATTCCTCCCACATATGCTTCTGAATGTAACCATTGCGGGACTTTGATTTATCGTACAGACAGTCGGTATCGTAGGAGGCAAGAATTAGTTTAAACAAGACATTACAACTTGTTGTTAAGTCTCCATGGGCCAGGTCCTTTTTTATTAACTTGGTCATAATATGGATTTTGTAGCTCCTACTAGTGTTCTTCTATTAGTTGAGAGCATTCCAATGACCAAACGCATTGCGTATCTTCTCCCAAATAGCGCAGACCAGGCGTAGGAAAAGTGGCTATGAATTTAGTGAAGGCCCCCAATTATCTACGCCGTGCAAACTACGCCCACCATATGTGTTTAAGCGGGTCGCGTTTTATTCGATGCTATCCGAAACATGGTACCTTTTCGTTGACTCTTGCACACTCGACCGCGAGGCTATCCTCTGACTCCCCGTTGCATAATCCACCACGATCTTAGCTCAGAGAGTTGATAAACAGCGGTCGCGCCTTATTCCTTTATCGCACATCATGCCCGTCACCTTAGAATTACCTCCTACTGGCTGTGTTGCAGCATCGTGACGATTGGGCCGTCCATCGTAGACCTCAGTTCATACCATTGGAAGGCCGGCCGCCTTAGCATTACCCAACATTGGCTGTGCCGTGATACTTCAGGCTGATCCTGAGCTGGTTGTTCTCAAATATATAGCCAGTACTCAGGGTCCTCCTCGTTCGACACCGTACACCTCGAAGCACAGAATCATCTGAATGGCGTCGTAGGATATGCTGTTTCATTTTGTTCTTACACTTTCGTGTCAATCCCACCGATAAAAGTCGTTTTGTCTGGTAGTAATCCACTAATTTCGTGGAAGTTATTTTTTCGATTATTTGTTCACGTCGACTTCGACCCTGTGTTTGTCCTAGATCGATTGTTCTGGCTTTCGCCGGCGATGACCTGTAATACTGAGAAGAGGATAGAGAATTACGAAAATACGACTTCACCAGATAAAGCCTTCGGACCTTCAGTTGCTCGGAATTAACTATTAAAGTATTTCTACGTCTACTGCATTTAAAAAACTAATTTCGCACAAACGAAATGACGTAGTCCGCTTATTACTTCAGTTGGCGGACATCCGTTCTGAGAACCGAGTTGATCCGATATTGTTGGCATAGCGCTCATGGAAGCTGTACTACCGTTCACAAACACTGAGTGCGGTGGGCTATCTCATATATCTCCATTCATTCTCATTGGTTGGATTCACCTTGGTTAACTTTACCTCTGTAAACTATTGATTAGCGGTTAACTTAAATTGGTCTACACTTTGAATGTTTCTTATTGTTCACTTTTATGGATCTTCCGGCCTGTTTTCGTTGCTATACTTAGGGGTATGGTCAGTACTGAGTCACACGTTGAAATGCTTAACTCACATCATTTATTTTTTGTAATTTAAGATACCATCGAAATGCCCCACCCGTAAAACCCCCATTACCACAATTCCCGTGCGACAAGCGTTTGTGGCTAGTTGGTGATATTTAGAGGCCTTCATTAAATCCTTGTCGAAAACTGCTGTTGATGTGATGCCGACAAACCGGCTAGCGCAATCTAATTTGTATATCCTCTCATACCGTACCTCGTTTCCCAGGAAACATTTGAGGCAGCAAGACAATAAATTCTGCTGGCCTGTAAAAATCTGAAAATTGACTAAATTTGGTTTGCTGATTTTAAAATATTTGGTCTTCTTATAGTTTCCGCTGCGGATGTCCTTCGGTGTGAAACCATGGATCACGAATGCGAACATAAATGCGTAAACATTCTGGACGGTTACAGGTGTCAGTGCGATGACGGCTACAGTCTACTTCCAGACGAAAAATCATGCCAAAGCGAGTTGTCTTTCTGCTCAAATATGCCGTTTTTTGTTAAGTTACCTGCAGACACGCTTCACAATAGTCATCGGGGTTTAGTGCGGCAGGAGTCATTTGCATCATTCAGAATTATACCTGGCATTTAGCGCCATACCCAATGATCGTTCATTTACATTAGACTGGATGTTCTTAACGAGTACTAACGTTCACAGACCCATCATGTGTCAGTTTACAATGATGGACAGCTGATCATTCAGAGTGACCTAAAATTTTGACAGCAAAACTATCTAGAGGGTTGCTTAGAGGTGGGAGTAAAATGTGTTACTTACGCGCGTCCTCTGCTTCTGCTAATATACCTGCTTCGGCAAAGATAATAATCAGTTGGATGCGAGAAGAGAAACCCACTTATTACACCAGACCTTGTTCAAACTTGCAGTGGGAATGCTATTCTCGTGCCTTAACTTCAGCCCTAACCCTGACAACAACCATAACCATTACATTAAGGCTTGTATTCCTAACTCTGACACTAACCTTCCTAACCCAACCATTTCCGTAATACTAGCCCTCTTAATCCCGGCCCTGGCCATAACCCTCTGATCCCTTATCCCAACTCTAGCCCTTGCAGTAACGCTAGCTAAACCCTAATCCACCTGGTATTTAGCGCGTAAAAACATCTAATGCCGGGGCAATGATTCTCGTGCCCTAATCTTCCATCTTTCGTTGTCGTAAACGGCAGTCCTCAATAAAATGCTATCCACTTCAATACTGCTTTGAGACTTGAATACAGGTCTATTTAGGTCACGACAACTAATGCACGTTCAAGAAATCTGCAGAGAGCAAGAAATATATCCTAGCATGATGTGGACGAGGGCATTTGTGATTAAAATGAGGCAAAGTGTGTAAACGGGAGAATCAAGCAACTATGCACAATCAGAAATAAACGATTACATAAAGACAGTTCGCCAACAGAAAAAACGGGTGAGGCGTATGAAATGTGCAAAACAGGGCAACATCCGCACAGCAAAATGCACAAACACGAAATGAGGGAAAAGTAGCATGTGATAAATAAGACGAATTCACATATCTGGCGCAAATACCGTAAGGAGTAAAGGTCGGAAAATTGGCCAGATGAAAACTATTCATGAAAATATACCAGACCTGATGTAGTGAAGGGATACCAATGTCCGCAAGCCACACGATTCAGATAGCGATGACTAGGAGACGATTGGTCATAATGACCAAACATTAGCTGGATTCCACTTGAAGTTGGTAAGTTTAGGTATTTCACACGCATCAGGCATTTCAAAAAGTTTTATCAGTTCTAGTAGCCTTGAGCGACTAGGGAGTTATTGATCATACTGACCGATTTTCACTCTGCAGTTACCTGCGGTGGCTACTTGGAAGCGGATAAAGGCAATATTACCAGTCCTGGCTACCCTGATGAGTACCCGCAAAGAATGGAGTGCGACTGGAAGATTGCAGTACCTGCTGGATTCTCCATTGTTCTCACATTCTCGCGTTTTGAAGCAAGTGTCAATCTGATCATTAACTGTGTTTACTTAAAGGCGTATTTGGTTGAGAAAATATCATGAATGCATCAGCCGGATGCAATAAATGTCGGGCTTTGCGCATATTTGCTGCCTACTGTCTAGTGGGCACCAGGACATGAATTCTGTTCAGCGTATATATGAATCTTTCACATTCGGGCCGATTAGATGTCCAGTATTTTATACTCGCCGGCGGCACTCTTTGCAATATTTGTGCGGCATGATAGGGCATGCGCGCAAATGATCTGCCTAAATCTACATCATCATACTGAAGATTGTTGAATGGCAATTTTTGCGAAAACAGTTGTCAAGTATGATCCAGTCGTAGTAGTCCTTTTCTGTCGGTTGCAGAACATATTTTTTGAACACATGTTGAAAATGATTGGGGCCTCAACCGGGGCACATCAGACAGGTTGATGTGTATCCGACGACTACGGTCAATTCCGCATTGTCATCTGCCTTATATTTTGTTGGTCGAAATATTCGCATCTACCCTCGGCTCATCAAACTGCCAGGCACTTACATCAGCTACTGCAAAAACCTACAACTGGCAATTTCCTATGCGGTAGTTTGGACCGCAGTGGTCTGCACAAGCAACTGGCCATTGCCTTAGAGCCGCGTTTGCGACCTAGATTAGTGGACAGTGGCAAGCATTCAGTGGCCTCTTGGGAAGCTTCATTCCCGGAGCAATTCGGAAAGCAGTACAGGTTCTATTATTGTGTTGTATGCAGAGTCCTGTGGAGAGCGGATGGAGGGGACAAATACAGTGGAAATATGACTGCTGCCAAAAGCACTAGGGGATTTGTATTTCATCCTCTTCAATGGTAAATTGGACAACAAGTCACGTATACGAATCCTGTAGACGACTCCGCCTTACGTTTAAAAACATGGCTGTTTCTGTGGGGAACCATTGCCATGTTTGTTATACTCTACACACATCAGTCTAGAGCTTTCACGACTGCGCTCTGTGATGAGGACGTCAGATGTTGTCTGCTTCCTTCGATGTCATCCCTTGGAAGATGTTTTTGTGGTTTTTCTGTAAAGACTACGGAATCAGCAGCCGGATGGCATCAATTATCAGTAAGGTTGTAAATTAGAAATTCTTGCTTGTGTGGGGCGAATTCGTGAGCTCCTTGGCCCGGTAAAGCCGCCAAATAGACGGGAGAGAGCATGGTTAAATGTCTGGGATTCCGCGGATAAGTGTTGTCATAATTTGCATCTTTTCTTCGTGCAGCTAAAATTCTGTGCTTCTTTCAACAGTTGTCTAAAAGAGGGTCAATTGCTGCCAAATATTGCGGCCACACCAATGCCATTGTGCAGCGCGTTGTCATCATATGGATTTTCCCCATATTTCACTCTTACTAAGCAAACTGTCCACACTTACCCACGTGAAGCAACACGGCAAATGCCTATTCCGCTGGCAGTCATTGTTGGGAAATGTCCGTTTCAATGACATTTTGTACGTTTTCAGCTTCTGCTGGACGACGACTGCCCCTACAATTACTTAGCAATATATGACGGTCCATCGGACTCTTCACCCTTGCTCGGCAGACTCTGTGGAGCTCAGATGCCAGCACCCATAAAGTCGTCGAATAACACCATGAGCGTGCGTTTTGTTGTCGAGGGTGTGCTCGCCAAGAACGTGTTTGTGGCCACGTTTCGGAAAAGTAAGTGTCTGTGTTCTGCAGGAGACATTTATCTGCTGTGGGACATCTTTTTTGAAATCTTTAGGGCCTTTCAACGTGTGCCTTTCTCCAATGTTGATGTTTTGTACAATTTACGCAGTTACCCATTTGCGCATCTGCAACGATATCAGATATATTTTGGAGCATGGAAATTGACTACATTTTGTGTATTTGACTAGTTTTTTGCCGTTTAAATCGCGGGGCCGATGCACACATCAATGAGAGTTTTCTTAATGTCCTAATTCATCCCCTTGAAATGCTGTGGGCTTTGGTTTGCTTTTCAGCGGAATTTTAGTTTATATGTCACTTACATTCGTTATTCATATTCTTCTCATATATGCTTCTGAATGCAACCATTGCAGGACTTTGATTAATCATACAGACAGGTGGTATAGTAGGAGGCAAGAAATAGTTTATGCAAGACATTACAACCTGTTGTTGTATCTCCATGGACCAAGGCCTCTCTTTTTAAACTGGTCATAATTTACTGATTGCAGCCCTTACATGTGTTCCTTAATTGGCTTTCTATAAACCAATGACCAGATTAATTACTCATGTTTCGCCAAACACTGCAGAGTGCAGACTGTTCTGTTCATATGTTGGAAGGTTTTGCTGTTGATGTGATGCCAACAACCCGGCTAGCTAAATCTTAGTAGGAAGCTAATAGGGAACCTGCCTCGGTTTGGTAGAAACCGCACATAACCTTATTCATACATAAATTATCGTAATAATGTGGCGCATATATCTATCGACACAGAACTTCTTTTGTTACCTCGTATGATTATTGATATATTGCAATACCGTGTGTGGTTAGACAAATAGTTGCCAACACACATTATGACAAATTTAAATGCAAATATTTGGCCAATGTGCGACTGAATATGATAGGCCATTATTGCTCGTTTTATTCATGAATACGCACAATTTCCCAAATGCTGCGACCTGAATTTCTGTAAACCAATCCGAGTCGTCATTTCTTCTTAAATTTGCCGTCCTTGGTTATTTTTGGACACGCCTCGCATGAGTCGCCGAGGTGTAATGCGACAGGAGTCCATTTTAATCATTTAGAATTAGACCTTACATTTAGTGCCAGTTTCAATGATCGTTCCTTTACATCAGACTGGATGTTATTAACTACTAATATCGTTTGCAAACCCCGTGTGTCAGTTTGCAATGATTGAGGGCTGATCATTCAGAGTAACCTAACATTTCCTGTATGCCAGCAAAATTATCTATTGGCTTGTTCACATCTGGGAATAAGCTATTTTACCTACGCGCGTCCTTTGCTTCTGCTAATATACCTGACTCTATAAAGATATTAATCAATTGGACGTAAGAAGAGAAACCCACTAAATACTCGAGATATTCTGCTAGATTGCAGTTGGGATGTTATTCCCGTGTTCTAAATTCAACTTTAATCCTGACATCAACCATAACCATCACACTAACGCTTGTAGTCCTCCCTCCGATTTTAACCTTCCTAACCTTTACCATATCCGTTAGCCTAGCCCTCCCAAACATGGCCTTGGCAATAACCATCCTAAAGCTAATTCTTCCTTTAGTTCTTATATTAGCGCTAGCTAAACCCTAATTCATCTGGTGTATAGGGCAAAAAGCATGTAATACCGGAGCATGTATTCTCGTGACCTGCTTTTCCATCTTTCGTTGTCGTAAACTGCAGTCCTCGTTAAAATGCTACCTTCCTCGACACTGCTTTTAGACTTGAACACACGTCTACATAGGTCGCGACAACTAATGCATGTTCATGAAAGCTGCGGACAGCAAAAAATAAGTACCATAATTATCATACCATGATGTGGACGAGAAAACTTATGATTTAATTGAGGCAAAGCGTCCAGGCGGGAGAATCAAGCAAATATGCACAGTCAGAATATTATGATTGCATAAGGACTGCCCGCCAGCGGTGAAACGGGTGAGGTGTATGAAATGTGCAAAACCAGGCAACAACAGCAAAGCAAAACGCACAAAAACGAAATGAGGAAAGGCAAGCATGTGCCAAATAACGGACATTCACTAATGTAGCCGCCGGCATGGGGGAAAAATAAATATTGTATTTAATTCATTAACAGGATACCTGCAAATCCTTCAAAGCCATCAATGAATTTCCTTTCAGAATATATTTTTAATGTTTTTATCTGACATTCAAACATTCAAATTCACAAGGGATATGTACATGAACGGTTAATACAGGCTTTTATTTAAAATGGCATATAAATCTTTCATTTAAATGGTGCCTTTTCTCCGATTGGAGTACTTGCCCAATGAAACATTCTTTACTTTCAGGGGTTAGAAAAGTGAAATCTAAAAACCATCGGCGGTCAAAACACTGATGTCCAAGCACCGAAAACTGTACTATGCAATATGGTTTTGAAAAACATTTAATTGGTGTTGGATTTTCTTCGGGTGAAATAGTGTTATAATTAATCTAGTCTTAAGTGGTTTTAACTGTACGACACAATCATCAAGGTTTTGATGATCATACAGGATTTTTCAAGCAAACATTACTCATTTTTCCGAGGCGTCGCGTGCTGAGTCTCATTCTTTCTTTTTTCGCGCATATATGAGTATCAAAGTAGAAACAGTTAAAACGACGATTTCATATGTCACCCTTGCATCGCACTGAGCATGCTCTAACGGCAGTCAGTATATGCGTAACTTCTGTTGGGAGAGCCTACACTCCCAAAAACAAGAGCCAACCAATCACTGGAGGCCACGCGCGTTTTCTCTACAGCGCTGTCATCTTAGTCGTGGCGCCCCTCCACTGTCTTTTCCCTCGGGCCTGATCGATCTGCGTATTCGAATTATCGACCAGTTTGTCTCGAATGTTCTCTCCGAAGGGCATTGGGCCGAATGCCGGCGAACCACAGTAGGGCGTTGTAAATGTGCGTTGCTTCCAGTTAACCTTGACTTGCAGTGTTTTTCTAATACACTTTCCGTGGCCGGCCGTGTTTTCTTTGGCTGCCGCTCTGGTATTGGGGACAAGGGTCGAGTGCGTATACGCTTCACGGGATTTCAAGTACCAGGCGGGTCGTAACAAATTGGCGACGTAGTTTTTCAACTACAATGGCTGACGAGTACGCCGACTTGAAGCAGATGTTGCAGCAGTAGCTGAAGCTGATGGAGGCACTCACCGTTAAGCTGTCCAACTCGTCCATGGGTCATTCAAGCGCGGCTGGTGGTTCGCAATCTGCTGATCACATTGCCGGCACCATTACTGTATTCTTATATGGCCCGCAGGCCCATATCACCTTTGATTCCTAGTACAAGCGATACGAGGACTTGTTCTCAGTAGATCTGGTTGCCCAGGACCATGCATGGAAGGTTCGACTTTTACTTAGCAAACTGAGATTTGAAAATTTTAGACGGGACCGATGTCGGATTAAAATATCCGTCGGAAGCGAGGATGACCTGGTGTGGTTAGGTGTTTGAGTTATTAGTCCAAGACACTTAATTATTGAGTTATATTCTTTTTGACTAGTCAGCGCAGTCTGTTTGTAATCAAAAATGGTCGCTTCAGTCATTAAGGCCGAGTGCTGGGACCGCCGTGTAGGTAGGAATTTTTATACAAAATAAGGTATCGAAAGGCATTTAACTTGAAATAGACCAAGTTCCTCGCGTATGAAATAAAGTTTACTGTGCACATCACAAAGCCCTTCCCCACCTCGTTTCACCGATGTTTGGACAGTGTAGAAACGATAAAAATTTTAAATGTGTTAACCAGAAGGTCGTGTGGGTGGCTGGTATGTGTGCCATTAAGCGTCTAATGCGTATGGTTACCTGATCGAGCTTGGCTGCGTCCATATTCACTCGCCCCTGATAATTCTGCTTGCGGTACCTGAATGCAGTATAAGCATACTTGCATGGACTTTAGACGATCATATCATCTTTTATTGGCCGCCTCAAAGTTAAGTGCTTTGTGTATCGCCCATATGTCTGAGAACGGTATGCAGAACCAGTTGCGAAAATGTACAGACCGGAGTGGCTGTTGAAACGTACCGAGTTGTTAGCGCATGACTTCCAAATTAAAAAGTCGGGGAAGACAGCCTTAACGGGCAGTAGCAACTGAGGCTAACGAGCGTACACAAGGCTCAGCATATGACGATAGTGCTCTCAAAAGCTGGGTTCGGTCGATTAATTCCTTTCCGTGCCGGCTCGAACGCTTGTGTGCGCACGAACTTTGCTCCCCTGCAGCCTGCCAAGGAATGGTTCGGCGCCGTATGACTTCAAGAGCTCGCAACGCCGGTGTCAAGTAATGCCTCATTCAAGCGGTGGATGCACAAGGGAAGTTAGGTGGATCGAAGGCAGCATGGGTGGGTTGCCTCGGCGACCACGATAGTGGACTGGCTCATGGCCATTTCCGACTGCGTATGTCAAATCCCAACCGACACAATAGCAGCCTGTGGATCAATGTTAGAACTTTGGACTTGACGTTCAATGAACAAATAGTCCGTTTTAGAATCCTAGGTTACCCGAACATGCGGTTGTATATGGCTTGTTGAGGACAGCTGACAGGCAAGAACTGGCTATACCCCAATATACATTCTAACTATCTGTTCTCATTCCTGAATGTGTATATGTATAACGAATTGATTGATTACTCGTGCGCACAGCAGGACTCATCATTTTCATTTTTAATAATCCTCCCTTCTTGTCCATTAGGGTTTTGTTTTCCTCCGCTGGGTCAGTTATATGCCAAATTAAATAGGCTTTGGACTGCCAGGATATAATTGTTTGCACTGCCTTGTAACCTGCAGTTGGATAATGAACTGTACATCGTCAAAGTAGTACCTATGAATATTCGCATGAATGTGCTTGGTCACGAGAACTGCTTCTGACTTCACGACACAAGCATGCGCGCTCTGCCGTTTGTCGGTCATGCCGCATTCTTTGGCCAGACAGCCTAAGCAATTGACCACGTAGACGACTCCTGACGTGTTCTGAGATAGCTGACAGACACTTCGATCGTATGAATAAGCACGAATCATAAACTCCGGTCAGTCCTAAGAGTTCACGCTAGCATGCATTGTGTGGCTTCTGAGATATCCCTCCACGCATGGACTGTGACGGACTGTTTCTGTTCACCGTAAGTCTCGTATGCATTTGGCATAAGTCCCTTGTGTGGAGCTGCAAAACGACCCATTGGAGGAAAAAAGGTTCCGTGTGCACTTGCCCTTTCACAGCTTTTCGGCTTCCGCGTCGCTGTGTTTGCCAACTCTAGGCTGTGCGGAGATTTAACAGCGTTTTTGTGCCGGATGGTGGGTCGAATGTAGTTACGTAGCCCCACCTGAAGTAAACAAACTCCAGTCACCGCTAATAGGGGACCGGCGGTAATAGGAGTTTTTACAGGTGGGGCCGGGGGACGCACAGGCGACGAGGTTAAGTAGCAGTATGTAAAAGAAAAGCTATTGGGAAAATGCGGTTGTACTTTGAACGTCTGAGAAATTGTTGCTTTTAACACTCACCCTAAACCTAACCCCTAACTACGACCCCTAATCCCAAACTCTAACCCCTAAACATAATTCCTAACCCCCTAACCATAACATTAACCCTAGCACCTAACCCTTAACTCCAACCCCAACAGTCTTGTGTCCATCAGGTGGGGCTACTAAACCACATCTTACCAGATGGTGTTCGCTGTCGTGGCAAAATTTTTCTCGTGTTCGTCCTCTTCTGGCGAACACCATTCTGGAAGCCAGTTTTCTTTCCCTATAACCTGTAAAAAAAGGTTAAACATCATGTTCCACTGCGAGTAAAACTTAAAGGAAATCGGAGTCAATTAATGCTCAAATGCGTTCAAAAGATAATCAATCTGCAGTATGCATGACGCGTCCAGGGTGTCGACATATAAAAGTAAAAGATCCGAGTATCCGGTTCCTTCTCCTCCAGACCCTTACCTTCCAATGTCACATTATACAGAAAATATGCCGATGAACTTTGATAAGGTTGGCGTGTGTATCGTACCTGAAAATGGAAATAGCGAATAACCCAAAGTGTTGTATCTCGACGAACGAAAACGTGGGGCGATGAAGGAACAGGGCACAACTTCTGATCAAAGTAATTAATATGATATAACTGACAAAGATAAGAAAGACCACAAAAAGAACATTTCTGGTTTAGTGGCTGCCACCAGTCAGCCATACCCAACATCGGTGACACAGTGGTTAGAACGCTGGTTTAAACCTTAGGAGTTGCAAACCTGGCATCGAATGTGCAGGCTGATGGCGACTACTAAGCCAAATATAGCCAATCACCCTTGTGTCTCTGGATAATCTCATTTTGCTTATCATATAGGTCTCTATGAGCCAGCTTGCGGGGCTTTGGTTTGAGGCCCAAGGCCTAATGGAACGAGCTAGTCCCTTAGCACAACCGTTTAGCGCTCTGTGCCACGGCTAAAACGATTTCTCGAATTCAACGCAAACAATGCGGTTAGGAAAGTTATCCGTCTGTCATTCAAAGCGCAGTTGGATAAAACACTAACAGGAATCCTACTACAGGACATGACATATGCATACAGCAGATTTCACTGCAGCACAGGGAACGGCACTCTCGAGGACTCGAGCTAACATCAACAGTTTGCCAGCGAGTTGCCTCTCCCATCACGTCTCACAGATCACGTGAAACAAATGTAGAAATCGTGGCTGTTCCGGCACATAACGAATGAATCCTTGTTGTTCGACGTATATCCCATCTCAGAAGATATTAAACAATAAACCTTTCTGTAAAAGCATTTGTGGCCAATTGTTAATCTCAAAAGCACACCTGTCTAGGGGCTGAATAAGAGATCTAACAGACCTTTTAAGAAGAGTAAACCTTTTTAGAACATCCGGTGTTATCTCCACCGCATTGGCTGGACAAATTAGAAGGCGTCCCAGTATTACTTGACGACCTAATGACATCATTTGATGTCACCTATCTGTTTACTTACATTCCTAATTACTTGGCCATGAGTGCCGCCATAGGAATGCGCAATGAAGTGCACGATGACACTAGAAGACTATTACTAAAATAGTCTAATGATGATTGGGATGGAGGAGAGCGATTACTCTAGGGACAACGATGCTTGGATGAGCCGCAAAGGCCTGACGCCCTCAGCTGATAAATTTTGTCGACTATAAATGTGTGTCGGCGGGTGGTCGGCGCGCTGATCAAAAGTGGAACCATGAGTAGTATACACATCCTAAAATTACATGTTAACATGTAAAATGTAAATCCTATTTGCAGAGAGAACATTAGAAAAACAGAAGAGAAAAGGCCAATTCGCAATCGTCAAACCATCAATCATCGTCCAAGAACACATCGGGTGAAATAAAAGCGTGTCTAACCCGACAAGCTCCACTCTTACATCTCTTGGCGCGCTCCCGCCGTGGTCTGAATTCACCAATGAGGGTTTGCTGCTTAGATGTCGGCAAACTTCTTGAGGATAAGATAGTATCCACAGACGCGCGTTCCTTGCGTCCTCTCATTCCTGACCGCATACCCACCGTGGTCTTGATTCTTCAGCAAAGGCCTGCCGATCAGACGCCAGCGAAAATCACGAGGATATCCCATTGACCACTGAGTGGACAACTGCACACACCCCCTACATACTGTTTGCCTCGTTCCCGGCGTGGTCTGGATTTTTCAACGAATCCTTGTTCTTTGGATGTCAGCGAGCTTTTTGGGGTTGAATCATTTCCAGCTGAATGCAAAGCAGTCCTCATTTTCATCCATTTTTGATCGAACTCCCGTCGTGATCTACATCCTTCAAGGATGAATTACTGCTCAGACGTCAGTGAACTACTTTATGTTGAACCCTCGCTCACGGACTCGGCAAACAGTAATGGAAGGGGTTTGTGACTGCTGTCCCGTCCATGGGCAGTGCTTCAAACTCAAGGAGTTCCCTGACATCTGGCCGGCATTCCTCCGTGAATGAACGCAGACAATGGCGGAAATGTGGGCAGAAATGGAAGGAGGTGACACTGCTGCGTCCGCCGTGGGCAGTGGTTCAAGCTTAAGAAGTTCGCTGGCGCCCGACCAACTCAAGGCCAAGTCTGCTGTCTTTTTGAGGACAGAGTCCTCCCCCTAGACGTGATAACCGACACTACCCACTCCAAACCCTCACTGTCATTCCGTTTTGGGCTGACATCATCGGTCAGTGCTATCTGATGATACCGCATGGACCTTCCTTACGATCGCTATTTCTTTACCGTAATGTACTTCCTCTCCTCCCTTTCGCTTGATCGCTTTACTCCGTCCAACCTCGGCCACCTGTGCATTGTCTCATTTATGCATAAATGGTGATGACTCTTCTTCCGAATCTGTTAGTTCCTTCAATATTACCACGCAATCAAGCACTTTACTGGACTCGTCCTTCTCGTCCACCACCACCACCACCACCACCACCACCACCACCACCACCACCACCACCACCACCACCACCACCTTCATCAGCATCATTATCATTATGATCAATTATTTCATCTTGGAAGTCTGACTGAACTCCTCCGGCTACTGGTGGCTCCATCGTTCACGAACCGACGCAAAAGGACGTCCATTAGCCGTTTTCTGGCACAGTGTATGCACACCAAACAGGTGACCAAGGTAGGAATAAGAATAAAAACGCTGGATATGGGGGACCGCATGAGCCAGAACAGGAAATAGAATAGGATTTAACGGAGCGAATAAGAAGATAAACGGAGGATAGAGGTGACCGCTTGGTATTGGATAGATTGAAAACGACGAACACAGGTTAGGAATAAGAATAAGAACGCAGGATACAACTATCCGTATCGGGTGAGATATGAAGGGGTATGGTCATATCTAACATCCGTGTTCAAGACTCATTGCCTCGGGGTGAATGACTCCCAGACCTACAGCCACTCAGCCGACTTCAACTCGGCCACACGTGCATTCACAGAGTGACACCTCCTCATGCATCAGTTGAACACAGCAGACCCCCTGAGAGTGTGACATAAACTACTTAGACACCACCCCTCGACAAATGCAACATACGCCTAATTGACACCCCTTGAGCGTGACCCACGAGCGTATAATAACAGTTATCACCGCTGTCTTGCAAACTCTTAGGCATGACCGGACGCAGTCAACATCAGCCATGGCTTCGCTCGCGGCTACTGCCGAAGAAAATGACAACTCACTGCTCCGTATACAATAAAACCCCCATTCTTGTCACTTCTGTGTCTTCCTACAACTCGAGATTTGGTCTGATGATTTTAGCGCATTGAGTGCACTCTCGCCCCTTGCAAGCTACAGTCTCTAACACACCATGCCAGACTTGCGATATGAAATTGGTTGAGAAAACGGGCAAACATTTCTGGTACATAATTACACCAGAGCACGTTTGCGGTTAACTACGATGTGAAGCAAAGCATGGCCTCGGGGAAAGCGGAGGTCATCGGTCGAGCCAGTTAGTTCCCGATCGCATCATTGGCGGATCCATGGTTCAGTAGCCCGCTGAAGCGTAACATTCTGTTCAGACGATCTGCTAATTTTCTGAATCAAACAATATCAATTTCGGCAGACTAAGAACGCATTTCCTACATGACATACGCGTAATACGACCCGCAGTACAACTGCGAATCGAACGACCCCAGCATAATCCAAACAAACCGCTAGCTTAAAGTCCACACTGGTGTTCGTCGAGGATTTCTACGCTGCATGAAACAATAAGATTGCGTGTCGTCGTTTTCTACTTGACTTCGTTTTTACGACATCTATATCGTGTGTTGAATTCCCATTTCCAATGTCAGAACAACATGTTCTCGAAATAATTAAAGTAACCTGTATATTTTAACCTAAAAACTGCCTCGCCGTTTTCAATAATGCTTCGAAGGCGATGGCTGTTGGCAAAACACACCGATGTGAAGGATAAGTTAATAAGTCAGTAAATAATTGGGGGTTTTGTGTCCGAACCGCGATTTAAAGATCTAATCCCGAGTCCTTCGAATGTGCTTGTGTTCACGCTAGTGACTATATGAGGAAATATTTCTTGGTTCGGTGATAAAATGAAATATTGTCATTGGCGATATAGCTCGACGCCAAGGTTCCTCCGAAAACTGCGAACATAGACATATGTTGGAAAAACAAGCTTAGGTTTCGGTGGGGCTCGTTGCTCTATAAAGCAAATATATGCAGCGTTCTGCATGATTTAAGTCATATTAATTTATAGGAGGAACAACAAATTCAATATTTTTTTTCTAAAAACATGCGGTGGATCGCACTAGGCACAATCATCACAGACACTATTTTGCGAATTTGTCCCAATACATTAATGTAACTACAAGGATTACGAAACGACAGCTTCAAAGTGTTTTCAAACTCGAAGGATGCTCAACGTAATACATAAAAACAAGTAAACTTGAAGCTTTGTGCATAACTACATCAACACATTGTAGAGCTTTGTATAAACCGAGCGTATGTGAGCAAAACGCACGCAATATATGTAATCAGATTTTATAGGAGTGATGTCTGAAAGAAAATGGTCGGAAATATGATAGCTTGCATGCAGGTGTAAATTGTGGCTCATACTAATGTATGATGCGACATCAAATTAGTCACTGTTTAATTTACCCAGGTTATCAGTCGTACATCAGATTTAAACTCTATTTCATGTTTGGCTGCGCAGTGTCCTCTATACATGAACATATCCAAAATACCCCCATCTTGCGTATAAGTGAAACGGTCGCGGAGGTTTTTGTCAACTTATCCGACTACCGTGTGTCATCTGCGGGAGGTTTCCCCATAATGTTTCTACACAGCCAGACCTTCAGCCTGCAGGAGGTGGTCCGTGGATTCGTATGGAAACTGCGGGCGACGTTTGGTCCTGTATCCCCATTTTTCTCATACCTCATGGTATGGTTACTAAGTCAAACTCAATACGAATGATTATGCTAGCCTGCCAAACGGTAGGTTTCCTAACTGATGAGAAGTGCCGATTCGTATAGCAATTGTGTTTGCTATTCCCCAGACGTGCGGGCATGGCCTAATGAATTCTTTGACTGCCACTTAAGGTTCACTACCGACTCTTTTTCCATGAAAGAACTTAATGGAATCTGCGCATCACCTCTTTTTACCCAAATCGGCATATTTTATTCATTCCCTTCGGATTACACAGAAAGAGCCGAAACCATCAAAACACGATTCGAAAGGGTTAGTGAGCCCTAACGCCTAAGCTGCGACTACGCACGTGTTAGTGAAAAAGTGTGTTTTTATATGAATTTCGCTAGTGCGCACACATTATTACGCATGTAACAAATTTACTGTCTGCCCTACATGTCTCAGAACTCAGTGTCCACTCCATCCTTATGAAATAAAAGAAGCAGTTAAGATGGCCATTTCGATTAAATAATAAGACAAACACGCTCTTCTGCCTTCATGCTTAAGCTGCAGTTCAGCACGGTTTCCAGCCGCGAGAAAGTTTCCGGCCACCTGCATATGAGGGTTGCGATGCACCCTCATTTTCCGCAGCTGGCGTACTCTGAATTGCCTACTGTATGGTTCATATGTGAACACTTGTCTGGCTCTATAATTCGCAAGTCATCTCACAGTGCCGTCTTGGCTTAGCAGTTCGACTGTATTTCCGATGCCGGCAATTCTCAGGTACTTGCACAACCAACTGATCCGAAGCTGTGGACTCTACACACCTCCGCTCATACCTCTTGTCTTTATCACTCCCCAGTTAAATACATTCCAGCTAGCTTCCCTGATTTCTCAATTAATGGGCGCTGTCGTATTACCACAAGTTAAACATACATAGCAGTGTTTGCTTGATGTTGACTCGTCCTTACTGATTGTTGGTCAACAGGCCTCTTAGCAAAAGATGGGCAGAACACTTAAATGCAACCCAGATTCGTAAATCACAATTGTCAGAGTTTACATCAAATATTCCTGACTAAATTACGTCCGAATAAGCAGATTCCGCTGACCGACAACTAATTGTTAGTGTAATTGTGAGCCCAATAACATTACCGACAAAGACAACAGAGACTGGGATGGCCGTTTTCGACTTATAAGCCGTTATGAGCCAGTCATACCCAATCCTGATGTGTGAAACACCTGGGAATCGATCCCGCGATCTTTTAGTTAGAAATCTAACGCTCTTAACCACTGACCCACGCGCTTGTTGTCCTGTTAATTGCGATCGGAGGGGCGCTCACCGATCGGGTTACGGAACTCACTTGTCTCGTTGTCACTTATGGCCCTATCTCGTGCCCAACTAGTAGTCACACAGCAGCGCGTGCTATAGGCAGAATAAGGCTAATAAGCCGGAAATTGCCATTCCAGTCTTTCTTGTTCTTGTCGGTAATGTTATCCTGACTACAGTACGCGCCAGCCCGAGAGAAAACCCCAAGGCACAACGGGACGAATGAGCATCGCAGCACGATTTGTAAGGGCCTCTCTACCATGGTTAGCCCAATACTATGACCATTAAAAGGGGCTTTAAATCAAATAAAATCCCATTTTCTGCACAATGAACACAGAACATGACGTTTTGTTTATGGCCGGATTTACACAGTCACCGAAAGTTTGTGAAAAAAACGCATCCTATATATACAGTCATGTTTTGTAAACGTGCTGCTTGCCGCTGAGTGATTGACTACTTGCATGCTCACGCGCATATTGCAGCGATTTGTAGCTTGTAAGAATCGAGCTTTGAATTTTAAGTACGTGGATGTCCGACTTGTCTGCATAGGCATTTATTCACGGAATTTTACCGTCAACCCATTCAGGAGAAAATCGCTTTACTGCATTAGTTTCTAGCAGCATGATTTCATCTGTACAGGAACATATTTAAAAATACTCTCACTGGTCGTGTTGTTTACATGTTCGTACAGGTTATTCGGGAATGTTTTGCTGTCCTTGTTCATCAGCAGCAGATTAACCTCTTAGGTCATCGCTCAATGTTGTCCTGGCGCACTTTATCCATTAAGTTAAGCATTGTGAATTTTACTTTGGATAAATGCTCCATGGTAGCTTGTCAGTTATAGTAAACTGATGCAAGTCTGAATAAGTATCATGTGTATGAGCCAGTAGTCTCGTTTCTTTAGTGTGCTTTTTTCAAGAGGTATAATACCCAGATATTTGTGGACTAAGCAAATGAATAACTGTCGTAAACGCATGCATGCACGTAAGTAAAACTAAGTGATTTAAGAATCGGGAATTTTAGCGATTATATCGAGTTCTTCAGGTTACCATAATGTTTCAAAAAGGCATTTTCTATGACGAAAAGTTCATCAAGACTGTATATTCAATAGTTGCACAGCGCATGCGACACAATGCTACAAATACGGACAGGAACGGGCTTTGAATTTTAAGTATGTAGATGTCCGACTTGTCCGCATAGGCACTTATCCACGGAAGTTTACTGTCAACCCATTCAGGAGTAAAACACTTTACTGCATTACTTCCTAGCAGCATGATTTCATCTGTACAGGAATATATTTCAAAATACTCACACTGGTCGTGTTGCTTAAATGTTCGCACAGGTTATTCACGGATTTTTCGCTGCCCTTGCTCAGTGTTATCCTGACGCGCTTTTTCCACTAAGTTAAACACAGTTAATTGTTACTTTGGATAACTGTACCATGGTAGCTCGTCAGTTATAGTAAGTTGATGCAGGTCTCAATAAGTGCCATGTGTATAAGCCAGTAGTTTCGATTCTTTAATGTGCTTTTTTCAAAAGTTATAATACACAGCTATTTGTGGACTAAGCAAATGATGAACCGTTGTAAATGATCTCTTTCTAGAAGGACACCTAAGAATCGGGAATTTCAGCGATTATATCGAGTTCCTCAGGTTACCATAATGTTTCAAAAGACATTTTCTATGACGAAAAGTTCATCAACACCGTATATTCAATAGTTGCACAGCGCATGCGACATAAGGCTAAAAATACGGACAGGAAAGTCCCACTGGCCTCTTCACACAATTCAGTAGACATATGCTTACATGTTTTCACAGGAACGGTCGAGATTGATGGACAGATGTGATCGCATAACTAAAGTGTGCTTTTTCGATTTGTTGTCTATCGTTTTCATTTGTACTCGATATTGTCTGTCTTTTGCTGACGTTTTTATGTGTTTTCTTGGCAAAGCTTACGTCAATGTGCAAAGTGCTGAGCCAAGAGTAAAATTCCATGTCAACCCTGTCTTTTTGACGCTTCTCACAGTGCCTGCTTGAGTGGCAAATGAAAATGTTCGTCTGCAGGGACGTCCGCGTAGCCACTGAGATGAGCCAAATAATTCGCTTCATGTTATCAATTTTCAGAGGCGTCCGTTATCACCCGTCCAATGTCGTATGCGAGTCCATGCCCTTGTGTGTGAGCTCCTGGTGTGCGTTTCGTTGATCAGGTCGTGAATGTGGCATGCGCAGACGAGCTCCCTAACTGTCAAGAACCTGCTTCCACTACCAGCACCAGACGTCTGACCAGTTCGGACAGTGACTGGAGTCTGGGAATGGGAATGGAGAGTGAAACTGACGACCCAGCGCCTTTTCCTCAACATAAACAACCAAATGAGCTTGAAGCTACCGCGCACGCCCAAAAGCCGTGGCTTTGAAGCTTACCAACTAACAGGATGACTCTAACATCATAGTCGGCACAGTGTTTGTTTGTTCGGGGGGGGGGGCTGGCTGGTGGACTGAAAGTTAGGTTGTAACAGTGCCTTCTTAGTGTGGCCTCTATGACATTCCCACCTAGTGGGATCCGAGCCAGATGTGGCGGCACAGTTAGGCGTGGCTCCGATCACGCCAGCCATCTACGCCCTCCTCCACTTCTGGTATTCCTGATTATGTCATGACACCGGGAATATGTGGCGGCGAGGATAGAGTGCGGTAGGTGCTGCGCAAACTTACTGTCACTATAAAATAATACATGCGTATGTCGCCGTTCCTGTTCTCACTCTGCTGCGGAGCACCCGTTGAACATTGTCAAAATCGACGATTGAACTGTCATATGAATCGAACTAAAATATGCCACAGAGATAATGATCTACGGTCAGCTACATCAAGCGTGCAGTCGACCACGATCACTGGCTATTCATGCGCTCTCTCACTCTCAGTCAGTATGCATGTAAATCAAAAGACATATGCTCCAGTCTCGCCCGCGGCCTACAATTCTTTAAACAATAGTGTGGGTTGTCGTGGGGAATGAATTTCTTAACATGCCTATGGATACAAGCATAAATGCATCGATTACAGTTGCCTAAATCGCAAAAACAACCTCGCTAAAACAGATTTCGCCAACGTCACTCTTGCAGTAGGAGACTTCCAATTTTTCTATGGATTTGGAATCAAACAAAAACCTAAAAGCGTTCACTAGAGCTTCTGCTGGTGATTATTTACGGAAATCCTTGTTGGCCTACGACGACTCAGGTTTGAGGTGAGTACTCATTTCCATTTGCATAGCATAGTTGAAGTAACTGTTGTAAAAGGAAAACTTGATGCGTGTCATAAAGAATAAAATTTCGACTATAAATATAACATCAAATTATCTAAGTGTCCATTGTTTGTTTTTTGCCAATCCGTTAATCAACAGGAGCCCACTGTCAATTTCGGCATCACAAAATCTTCTAAGCAAGCAATCCGTTTTTGACTCATATCACGTAATTTCCTGCTTTGCTGAAACCCTTCAGCCACACCCTTAGACGCCCAAAGAATCGGCAGCAGCGACTGTGATTCTCCTCGGCATAAAATGTCAACTCATCCTTAAATGTATCAGACATTCCACAAGCACGCTGACCGGTGTACGACCCTGACGACCGCTCAACTATAGACTCAGGCGATGTCTACCTTGTGCCTCAGCAAACTAAGCTCAGGGATGGCGATTTATACGCGAATCTGTTTATACTGACTCCCTCACATATTTAAACACACCGGTTGAATATATTCTCGACGAAATTGATAGCATACACAACTAGATCCAGCTGAGTTTATAGGGCAAGGGCGACTGCAATGGTCATTTCTGGCTTATTAGCCGTCGTCGGTCAGTCAAACCTGACCCCGAAGTGTGAAACACCTGGGGCTCGATCCCGTGACCTGTTTGAGGGGATTTAGCCACCAAACATGCATATTCAGCCGAGTGCAGATTTTCTAAATTAATAACTGTTGTCGTTGTGCAAAAACATATCTCATGATTACCACACAAATGCATGCGCCTGAAGTTGACTGATGGAACGTCTACGCTTGCTAAGCCGTCCCTGTATAGTTTAAATGGAATATTTCGTCGGAAATGCGAGTAGGAGACCCCACGTAATGCCTGGGATCTTACGTTAATTACAGGGCGATTAATGTCAGAATTAGGGTAATGGTTAAGTTTAGTTTAAGGATTAAGATTATAGATAGGGGTAACCATCGGGAGATGGCACCCAAAAATCTGTTACCTAGAAATATTAATTTAAACAGTGGACTCAAAAGCCTTCAGGCTATATCAGCGGTTTTAGGCCTACCTTCGCGCACTACTTGGACTTTCCGCGACGGCCTAGCATGGGCTGGCCGAACGAACACCGCAGGAGGTTATATGGACGATGGTCGCTGTTACCCAACCTTCCCCATCGTTACACACGCACACCTGAATATACGGCAAACATTCGCATTATAGCAGTTTATTACAAAACAAAAGCACTTTTAAATAGGATAAGTCTGCACAACATGGGACAGCAACAGTTCCCAGGCATCTGTCAAAGACATGGCATGGAGGCCAAACCAAAGACGATACTGTAAATCGTCTATGTGCGCTCACACAGCTCGACCACATACAGGGCCTCCCTCCTTTTCAGTCTACTCCAGTATGCCTCAATGACATTGGTGTGCCGTCCGGTGATAGAGTCCTTGAAGTTCTTTGAGTTGTTAACAGTGAAATGTAGATAACGTTCTGAGGGAAGACGATTATACGACTTCCACTTGTCCGTTCCCACTATACTGCCTATGGCAACCCATTTTGTAATAACGGAACGGAGAGCGGGCCAACTTCGATCATTCACCTGTTCAAATAAGGCTTTCCGTCGGCTAGTATTGTACATCCCGACCAGCCACCACCCATACAACCCCTATTACCACCTGTCCCATAAGACAGACTGCTTTGGATAGATGGATTTTTTGGGTGCCATCTTCCGTTTGTTACCTAGATAGGATTAGAACACGAGTGTTAGTTCCACCGTCGAAATTTAGCGGATGGCTACTTCAGTAAGATGGATTTTCCTTTTCGCCTGTCTTGCAGAGCATTTTAGCACAGATTCACCTTGTGCCTTTTGAATTGCTGAATATTTCCCCAACTTGTTAGATTGCAATTTTACGAGGATTTTGCAGAATAACTTTCAAATGGATGCACATTTTTGTTCAGTTACTTGAAATTCGGTTATATGAAGTGCTAGATCAGGAGGATTTTTCCGACGCTAAGCCAGAAATTTAAACACAACACTTTAGCCACTGACAGAAATTTTCACCTAAGTGTGAACTAAACGCGGACCAATTCACCGTTGAGCAAAATATTCTCCGTTCTCCCAAGCCACGAATGGTCAATCAGCTCTTTACATGTCGTCTCCCATTGCACGCAAGACTGACACCGGTTGGTCGCCATCCACATTCGCTTCCTATATATGACCTTGGAATACAACCCTGAACTTGACCTAAAATGCTACCCTATTTTAGACCTCAGAAATCCACGTCACCGGTTCCAGTCACCTCACGATCTGTACTGTCGGCCGCACTCACGGTCATACTCTTTGGCCGGCTCCTTCTCGTTGGGGCTCCTGTCGCATCTGCCGCCAGTCAGTACGCAGTTCGTGCAGCAAAACATGCGGAGGACTCCGGCCAAGGTAACCGTTATACATTGGCAATGCATGTTCTGCACCTTACGCAACAGCGCAGCGTCCTGTCGCTGCAGGCAGTCAGTGGGACACAATAGGTTCGGTGGAGTCTAAATCTGTTTGTACAGTATCGGGCAGATTTATCGGCAGTCCGCACTTCAGCCTGCCCAAAGCCGGCCAGTATTGGCTATGTAAAGTGCACTGGTGGAGGTTTAGTTGTCAAACAATGGCCGCAGGGTGGAGCGAGTGGATTTTATTGCTCTTACCTGTTGATGCAGTTTTTAGAGCAGCAGACTGTCAAGAAGAACAGCTTTTGACATTTCCTAACTTGGCACTCGTTCCTTCACTGAAGAGAATAGCAAATACTTGAACAATTCTATTAAAACATGATTCATTCCGTGGAACCCTTTAGTTTATAAATGATTTGCAAAAATGCAACATGGATAGAACACACACGTTTGAAATGACATCGTTTGATGCTCATTTAAATAAGGATTTGGACCTAATCATAAAGAGACAAGTTTGCGTGGATTACTATATATTTCTGCTCCCACATCACTATCACCTTAAAAATCGTTGTTACTAACTAGTACGTTTGGAATAAATAGCCATAATTACTCGATGTTGCTTTGAGGATCTTAACGAAGAAGCATTGATTGCACATGCACCATTAGCCGACTTTATGGGAGAGGCCGTCCTCTCGGAACTGGACGTGGAATCCACGCTAGTAACACACGGTGACCCTGACAGTGACCGTCCACTGCAGCGGACAGGGGACAAGACCCTCACCGAATCCAGAGAATCTGATGAAAATCCTGAGACCGTACGGTCACAGAACGCTGCGGCAGGAGAAATGGCCCACAACGCAAACGCCTCTCCGTGGTCTGATGGCTCCAAAGCCCAGAAATTAAAGTAAGAACCATGTATTTGTTTGTATATGAGGATTTGCTTCTTGACGCATGTTTCTGAATGCAGTTTAGAACTACTTGATTACTGGAGTCCCTTTGATAGACTCATGACATACTTCCAAATTGTGAAAATTTACGAAAATATATGCTTATGTTCTAGTTTTTTATGGTACTTGATTAATAAAATTTTCCGTCACAAAGCACAGAACAATCGACACAGTATTTAAGGGTATCGGAAAATTTCAGCGGTTTTTTATTCATTTAAACAAAGAATCGGATTCAACTGTCTAACTTCTAGGAAGACGATTCCCACAAGAAAACATTCTAATTGTGATTGTGTTAGCAGGGCAAAACGGTGCCGATATTTTATTTTCCCGAAACACAGATGTGGGCTTTATAGTGAATTCTCCCACACAGGCATTTTCAGGTTCGGTTCAAAATTTGTTACTAATATTGGTGCATAACGCAAGACAAGTCGGGAATGCTGGGAGACACGTTTACGAGCCAAAGCTCTCAGGGATGTTCAAAACAGTGGCACGACTTCAACAAAGCGCGTTTCTAGACTTTCAGCTGACACCTGTGCTGGGCGTATGGAGGATCAGATGGTATCGTGAAGAAATTTGGCTCTTCCTTAACAAGTCCATGCAGGTCACAACAGTATGCAAGGAGCATATATGGAGACGAAGCGTATTCTGTTAGAGTCCACAATTGATAAATAAACTGCTTTATTTCCGTCGTTTTTAAACTCAGGTAGATGTGCCAGGCACGGCGTGCAGTGAATGCACACAGAAATACACGTGTTAAGTACATCAACAGTGTCTTAACGCATGTCAGTTGATCCAGATAACTAACATGCCAAGTGCGCAGAAATCATATTTCTTATGCAAATCTAAAGGACTAAAACAAAACGAGAAACCCATGCAGGATTTCTTTACTACGCACGGTAAAGTGGGTGAATGACAATCATTTACTGCTTCGGCGTATGAAAACAACTGTATTTCTTGCTGCCCTAATGCTTAATTTATTAATGGGTTTTAATCAGCAAAACGAGATGTCCGTCTTTTTACGAAAGTGATTATTGTCTTTAATCTCTGGTGATAATTTCGACACAGAGAACAACAAGATCACCCATCTAGGATGTCAGCACACGGAGGGCAAAAGCAAACCGTTCCCAAGCGGGATTCGAGGTCGCCGGCACGGGAAGCACAGGATATTACGGAAGAATCGAGACGACGTAGTCGACGGGCAGTCACTGCGTTTAGACAACACATCTGGCCATTTGGAATTATTCCTTACGAAATAGGACCACAGTTTTCCGGTACGTTAACCGTTCGTTGAAAGCACCTTTTCCAGTAAGACTTCATGTGATTTAACTGATTAGAATGCAAAATACGTAGGTGAAATATCGAGCTTAAGTCGGACGCAATGAACTGTGTTACACAACAGGACCATATTACTCAATAGAAGTGAATGAGGGCTTTAAGAATGACTAATTGATAATAAAACGCCGTGCAGAATAATAAAGTGACTTTGAGCTCAAAATGTCTGTGGCGGACTGCGTTGACTTTAATTGTGCGTTAATTATATGCTTTACGCTGGAATAAAATGCATACTGTTGATATGTGAAAGAAGAGTAGTTTATTTAGGAAACCGGTTTCATACATTTTCTGAGCTAATGCATTGGGACATCCCCTAAATCAACAGAATTTTACCCCCGACTAACACGCAGTGGAATGCCAGATTCCTCATACGCAACAAGGAAGCTATTAAGACGATGCATAGCTTTGATTACGCAGATGCGTCCAGGTTAATTCTATTGCTCCTAGGCAGTGAGCGATTTCATGTAAATGTCAGACTACTAACGCAATAGTTAAGAATTTCCTTTACTTCAGAGAGACGAAACATAGTAGCTATCTGGATATAGATAATAGCAACTGCTTCTATGTAGAGAAAATAAAGTCTTGAAAGGCAAATTTTGTACAGGTGTCCGCTCAGAATTATGTTTAAGGCAACCATATTATTCACAAGGTCCTAAAGCCAGAAATCACTGAAATTTCCCTGTGCTTAATTTTCTTTTGATAAACCCACGATACGTGCCAGTGTCGCCTTACATGATAGTGCACCCTATGTCCGGTCCTCAGTGTGCTTCTGCGGGTTGCTGGAGGTAGATGTATTACAAGTGGTCGGAAATCGTAAACTTAGATTTCTAAAGCCAGGGAATTCTCTTACAACATTTCCACTCATTTTTGCATTGGCTTTTCTGTGAAAGATGACCAGTGCAATCGGTGCCAGCAGTATACTAGGACAATCGAAAATGATCGGCATTTATTGAACAGGTAATTTGACACTACCAGTTACGACATTATATGTGTTAAAATGGTACTAGTATGGTGAATTAGTACCAATTATTTTTGTCAGTCAGCGGGGACAATTATGGTCGTCTTTGGATACTTGAAAGAGTGATACAGGATATCAACCGCCAATATGTGTGCGACATTGTCACATCTCAGTTTTCCTCATGTACCGAAATATGTTCTAAACGGTCATTCATCTGCCTGCGCAACTCAATTGTCATGGTTCTGGCCGTATATTTAATGGCTAATTTTTGGATGTTTATTACCATATGTCAGTAAATCTGCGCACCGGAGCCAAAGAAAATCCAGGGAGGACGGTCAGGTAACAGATACTTAGATTTTTAGTTAGATTACCACCTGCTTGGGCAGTCAAATTACTATATCATATTTGATTGATTCCAAACGTTGCAGTCTGTTGGGTAGGTAAATTGACAAATATGTGATTAAAATTTCATCGTCCTGCGGGGCCTCGTAGCTCAGGTCCTTAGAGCGTCGGTTATACTAAAGGACTTCCCTTACGGTCGTGGGTTGGAATCCGACCGAGGCTCCAATATTTTCACTGTTGGGTCAAAGTGAATTGATAAAAATCTGCCAAACCATCTATAGGAAAGTATTTGAAATCGCAAGAATAGACCGAAAAGGGCCGTCCTGCAATGATCATGGCCTCTACGTTTGGAAGGACCTAAGCTACAAGGCTAAGTCAGTGTCATCATCACTAATACTCCCTGCATGTCAAATAGTGATGGAAAATATGAAAACCGTCCGCATATTGACTAATACAAATAAAATATACCAATAGTTCGACTTTAATTTCTAACAATGTCCACCTATTGCTCCACAAGACGGAGAAGCGGGCACGGTGACTTGCGCGTTAATTATTTAATAGTGAATGTATACTTTTGCTGTATACCCTTCTCCTCCTCCAACCAAACCCGGTGTCAAGACGCCGTCAAGAAGACCGGAGGTGGGGAGGACGCAGATGGATGGCGCAGTCAAGCCCGCACCTTAGCACTCTACTCCACGCCCTAGTCCACACAGCAAATAACCAGGATTTAAACCAAAAATAACAAAGAGAGCCGGCGTGGCCGAGGCCGCACCTAGGCGTGCCGCCACACCTGACCTGGATCCCACGGAGTGGGAGTGCCATAAAGGCCACATTAAGAAGGCGTCATTGCAGCCTGTCTCCTAAACCAGCAGCCGGCCACTCCACACAACACTGGACTGACTGCGAGATCACCGTTATCCCGTCAGTTGACAACCTTCCAAACCACGGCTTTTAGCGCATTGTGATAGCTTTAAGCGCGTCAGATTAGTGATATTGAGGAAAATGCGCGGAGCCGTTGACCTAACTCTCCCTACCCATTCCCAGACCCCAGTCACTGTCCAAGCCGTTCAGATGACGGGTGTGTGGAATAGGCGTGAATTTGAATACACTAATTATCACAACAATAACAGGATTGATGAAGGACCATGACTAAACTGAATGGTCTGAATGTGCTATGCAAAAAAGAATGTCTTTGTGCAGCATTATTCCGATAATCAGTCACTCCAGCCAAAACACCTAAAAAGCCCTTTTGCCAGGGACCATTAATTCATGCCACCTCTTGGCACTTTCGAAATCGTAAGTGGGCAAGCGAATCATATTAAAAATTTGGTATCGGTAAATAGATCGGCAATGGTAGGGTTATGGCCAGGGTTACTTACTCCAGAGAGCCTTTGGTTGACCAAAAGAGCCGAACATTTAAGAGCTTTTTCGTCACCGATTAAAAGGGACACTATATTTTTGTCTTTTATTGGTAATAGTGAACGAATTTCATTCATCTTTGCGGGCACTGCCAAAAATATATTGTTTTGTCGTATTTTTACTCCAATGACTACATTAAATCGTCTTGACCACCCTCACTCAACAGGCACCGCGAGATATTTCTATTTCTTTCTCTGCCACTTATGTACAAATAAATATCGCCAGGGATTTTTAGCCCATTTGCACCCCAGAGTAAGTTACCGGGTCATAGCCTTGGCAATAGTTCATTTCATAGATATTCATTGGTAATAGTCCTGCACTACGTTTTTCGTTCTAATTTATGTAGTTTGCGTGCTTTGCCAAAAGATCCTTCCAATATATCTTTAAGACTATGCAAAAATGGCCATCATGCAAGCAATGCGAGTTTGGGAAAGCGTTACATGTCTCCGCTTTGTTCCACGGCAGCAAAAACACGCGTCATACATTATCTTCACTGTTCTTCCCTGTGGGTGAGTAATATTTACTTTGTGCATAATATTTCTTTGGTGTAAAGTAATGACGGTATGGCCGTCCGTATTGATTATGTCGGCCGCGTGCTCCACGGTGTAAAGTAATAGAAACTCAGTGGCAGGCGGAAAATTCAAGTCAAATTAATTTATTTGAAAGGGAGTCGATTATGTACGTAAATCGTATTGTCTCTTCTACAAAAATCGCACGTCTGCATTTTGACTATGAGAATTTTAGCGTAAATTGGCAGTCAAAATGGTCAGATCTGTGATATCTCTCTAAGGTGAGACATTCAGTATGGACAAATCACACAGCGTTTATTCAATAAATGCCAATTAAGTGTAGTGTGTGCGCATATAACTGGAAAATCTATATGCTTAATGAATTTGTGGAACATGAGTGTGCTCCAATCACGAATGCCAATACCGGTTTGCGTCGCGTGTACACATAAGAATAAGCCAGCTCATATGGTGTTTCAACGTACAGGTGAGGTACGGGCAAAGAAGGCCCGAGCAGTGGTTTTTGCTCTAGGTTATAAGAGCTGTTTTCTATTCCTGTTGCAATAGCTTCTCATGTGGCTGATCAGGCAGATGCATGAAGTGACGAGCGGTTGCAGTGGGGAGGGATCTTTGCCGCGACTACATTGTTGATAGCTAACGACTTGGAAGTGGGATACCCTCCCATATCCTTATTTCGATTCTGTCGTTGTTGAGAGTATACTTCACCAGGAGTAAACACAGCGCTTTCAGCCTTTTAAATGGCGGTCAAGGTTTAGCTCTTCCCGAGAAGAATATGCCCAGATATCGTTGCATGTACGGCTTGATCTTCGTGTTGATTGCGCGGTCCTGGGCAAATAAGAGATTCTGCACCTACCCTTAAGAAGACATTTGAATGGCTTGCAAGACATGAAGGTTGCGGAGTATCCCATAGGTTCGCAATTGTAAGTCATTACTGGTTAATCCTATCAGTAAGTTTCCATGGACATCGCAGGGAATGCATTTGTCCCTCAGCTTTTGCGAGATCTGTCATTTCCGCCATATCTCCTGCAGCATTAAGTCCGAGAGATAGAAACTGACCTATTTCTAGACTTACGCTTCACATTTGTTTTATCAATAGTTGCACTCCAAGGGGTGAATAGTCCAGCCGGTCTAACTCTGAATAACATGGCGGAAGTTGGACATATTAGAGATAAGACAAGGTTTTACTTCGACCAGCGCTTAAGCAATCTGAGCCATGAGGCTCCGACCGACAGCCGTAAGTCCAATCACATTTGGGTCAAGTTGCTGGAGGAAACAACTGCAAAGTATGTAATCCGCCGACTCAAAGATGTAACCTGGATGCCGAAAAAGACCTGCATATAAAAAATTCATGAATTCGCAGGCTCAGTTAATTACTATGTGTTTTGGCAAATTTGAATAAATTTGAAAAGTTCGCCAGCCTCGGTGGGATTCAAATCTACGAGGGTAACAACAATGCCTGGATATAACCAACTGTCGAACCACCTGAGATAAAAAGCTCCGGCAGAGGTTTTTCTCGTATTGCGAAATTCACTGAGGACAATATTCTTCCACAACTGGGTATAATGAAATTGCAGAATTTTAGTCTCTTATTAATTCAAGTTTTGATCCCTAATGCGTCATACTTTGGCTTACTTCTAATCACTCGTGGGTATTTTAGGATGCACCTATAATGTGCTGTTTAAAGAGGAATATTTCACATGTCTGCAGCAGTAACGGTGCGCCATTTCAACTGCTCAGCGGGCCACATTCGAACGGTTCAGAAATTTATACTACCTTGCGAACCGGCGCTATTTTCATATTTATATATGTACCAAGCAGATTTCTATCGATAACGAATGATTAATTAGCTACATTTACGGCAAGTATAAAACACGGTTTTTTGCAGCATAACAGGACTATGATGGTCAGGGTGCCTTAGTTCTTCCTCGAGCATGCACAAGCTGTTTTGGGACCGAACTCATGTTATTTCCCGGGAGCTATGATTTTGTCCGTAGTCACTGAATGCACATAAATTGTAGTGGTCGAAACCAGACCTGTTTTGTCCTGTACAATCTTAGCTCACATGTCCATTAATCATGCCTTGCCAATTATATCTAATTAACAAACTGAATACAGTGTATTGACCCTATTGTAAATGGGCGAGCAGTATATTACTAAGAATATCCGAGTAAAAAGTATGTGAACCGGTCATATACATCACATGCGGCCAAGGACCGAGGCCTACCCATCGTGTCACCCTCAGTAACGGGGGTTTTCGAATTTTCATGTTCATGAATGCCTATGTCTGGGTGTGAATTTTAGCAGAATTTTGTACAGACATTTGTATTGTAAAACACTACCCCTGCCCACCTTTTAAAGCATATCTGGGTTGAGCAGACACAATATGCTTAGCTGTTTCTAGGCGATGACACAGGCTAACTTAACAATTGGTTTCACAATGCGAAATATATTTCACCGGTGATTTCCTGAAAATGTCACCGCTGCCAATTCAGATTAGGTGTGGAATTACGTATTTAAAAGTTTTCATGCTGAGATGTTTCGGGGAAAGAGTCGGACAAAATATGACACGAACGGATTTACTTTATTTCTTCATATGTAGGTGCTGTGCGGAAGTCGGTCGCCAAAGCGAATACAGACCACAATATGTTTCCATCGCAGCATCCTGTATGAGTGAAGGAACAGTCGTACACGAACTTGGACATGTTTTGGGTCTTTGGCACGAGCAGAACCGACCCGACCGCGATGGTTAGTTTGTGTAACTTCTGCAAACTTTTCCCATCAAGTGGCACAATTACATAGCAAACCATCCGTATGTTATACATTGGTTCTTTTCTTGTGTGCCTACTTTGGCATCTCTGTTACCGTTTTCTAGTGCTCCGCACAAAACAAGTTGTACACAATTGTAGTGATTATTTTTCCTAAGCATGCTAAGGCACCATTAGGAATTGGAAAGATCAAACAATGAATTCTGAGATTTTTCCTTGGAGAGGCCGGCCGAATATCATAAAAATATCATCCATCAAAATTTTAATTTTTGCAGCTTACAAAGCAATTATTTTTCTTCTTACTCTACGACAGCATATGTGGAAATTTTTGAAGAGAACATACAACCGGCCCAGCGGTTCAACTTCTGGAAGCTTAGCCACAGGGAAATAAATTCTCTGGGCGAACCTTACGACTACTATTCAGTTATGCACTATCCTAGTACTGCTCATGCCATATTTGACAGATGGGAGACGATAAGACCTAGGCAATGCTGCCCACGCCCACCAATTGGCCAACAAACCAGACCCAGTCCGGGTGACATTAGACAGGTGAACAAGCTCTACAACTGCCCCTGTAAGTTGGAAAGTGTTTGCTGCACCTGCTAGCATATCTTTTTGAGAAACGTTGCTGTCAATGTGTCAGATTCCTATGGGCTTGGAGTGTAGATACCCGCCGCCTTTGCCACCAATAAAATACATGACGCCATAATTCAGTCTGATAATATTAACGATATAGTTAGTCTTCTAAGCGATAGACTTTGCATGCTCGCATCGCTAAACTGTTGGTCGTCAGCTGCTGTCAATTCAGCAGATACGTTTACATCCAGAGAAGCAATAGACTGACTCTGATTACGTCGAAAACCCTGTGGTCCATCCAGATAATAAAAATATCATACACACAACGAAGCCCCTTATTCTGAGATTGGTAGTTCGAGTGATGTCGTCTTTTAGTGGCTGTACGCTTAGAACAGTGAGTAGTCTTCATGTTGGGCAGTCAGTTTGGGCTTCGTTAACTTGCTAACAGTACCTGCTGTCTTGAAGAAGGAGACACGATCGCCGGGACAAGAGCTTTATTAGCTGTGAGGCCCGTGTGGTGGTCTCATGTATGTACTAAAATACGTGAACAACAAGCGAAGATGTAAAAACGGGGCCACCTGCCTGTGGTAGTCGTGCATACACTGAACGCTGGACGGTCTGGAATAGAAGAAAACTCGCATTATGCTCGTCTGACTTAATGGCAAGGGTAGAGTAGATAACGGAGGTAGGTTTACCACACAGAAATGCTTACTGTGCTTACCTACAGTAAATTTGTTAACGTATTAAGTGTTAACCGAAATTCTGAAGGGCGCTTTCGACTAGAAAAGATTACTTAAGTAGGGTTGTACAACTGATTGCCATACCGCATAATCCCAAGATATTTCAGTTACTTCAAGATTCCGGATTTTGAACAAATGTCCCCTGGAATTCCGTCCCGGAAGATTTCATATCGGACATCCGCATATTATAGCTTTCCCTGCGCAGATTAGCCGGTCGGTCTGAGCTTAATAACATGTACATTCTAGCACGCAGGTCGCAGGCGACCTAAGCCGTTCTGATTTTTTGTCGACTGCCTACATAACAAGTAATGTCCCAGACTGAAATTGTGAGTACTTTGTTCCGACAGATTATTTCGTGTTTTTCCAGCCATGGACAGCTTGCCGAAGGCCGTTATATTAATATCTTTGTTTCGCCCACCTTTTTACCATCTCCGGCCATACGGGGCCAGCAGCCATGCCCCAAAACAGGATTGCTTTGTCCTATCCACTAAGTCTCGGGACACTATTCTAGTGCAAGGACGATCCGTATAAACCTGGGCTGCCCGCGAAATAAGCATTTCTCACTCCTTAAGATCCCTTGCGTTTACAGAGGTATTGAACTGGGACAAGACTACAGGTTGTGGAGTCACATACACGGCATCTCAAATGTCATCGGTGACGATGTCCATCACTTCGTATTGAGACAGATTTACAAACCATGTTCGAAATACCTCCTTCCTTAAACTGATCCGATGGAAAGGCAAAATCGCGTCGACCGATGGTGAATACAAGGACAGCCTGTCAAATTGTACGATACAGGATGTGCCGGGCTAACGGAGGAGCGACTCAGATCTGATCTTTTACGAAGACGTCACCGCTGCCTAAACCTCATTCCCGAGAACCAAGGGTTATCTCGTCTGTTTGCAGCATTCGTATTCACGAAGGATAGCCGACAGTGGTAGTTTAAAGCGCGTCAGCTTTAATATTTTGAACGAATATTTAGTCGTATCTTCCATCTTCCATCTGAATGTCACGTTGTCGCTTGTATCTGTTACAAGCTAGTAGTTCTGTTCAGAAGTTGCGTCCTCTTCCCATCTTGCTGGCCGATTAAAGTTCATTAAGGTTCCTTATTTCTCCTAGCGTTTCTGTTTTGAGATATGGTAGGTTTGCTGCTTTCTGTTTTCCGTATTTCACTATCTCTGTCGCATTTCGGGTAAATGTGGAATTCCCCAATGCGAGTACTTGGTAGCCGTTGATTGGAGTCTCTGGCAATCTCTCCACCGGCATCAATTTTGACTAATGATCTTACAGAAACACTCCTTGGCATAATCTCGGATAATTATGTCTGTCATGTTGATCCCGGTCTATGCGAAACTATTCCCCAATCCTGTGATCGGCGATGTGTTTTGCGCCCGAAAGGATCATGAATGCAGGTTAAGATGCTAATCCTAGTTGCTGGAATGGACGGAGAAGTTCGGGCGATCTCTGTCTAGGATGGTGTATTCAGTTGACTATCTGCACTCTTACTCTATGGACAGAAAACAGAGCAAAAAACATTGATAAGCTTGCTTAACTTATTCCTTATAGACCAATCATTTACTATTCTCCCCATCATGCAGAAATGCTGTCAGACGAATTTATTGTCGCTGATAAGCTGATCCTGCGGTTTATCTTTTTCCACCCTATGAATAGGTTTCGGATGGCTTCTTCGTCAGTTTGTACTTGGTTAGACCGAGAAATTGTGACTGGAAATGATAAACTGCTGATTGCTCTGGAGACTGGGCATGACGCATGTAGTCTCTCATGTTTTTCTAATTCCCACCAGGATATGTTAATTCATAGTTATTCTTAGTAGGCCTGTCGTTCACGGTTAGCATTTGAGGGACGTGACGCAACTTCAAAACATTCTACAGCATCTATAGTGCATTTCCTAGTAGAGCCCAAAGGCATGCCTGTGGCTCTTAGCAAAATATTAGTAACATTTATTGCCGATTTTCTGTTCTCCTCCATCCTACGGACTTTGCTGTTAGAAATGTCTGTTATTTGCTATAGTTTGGTTGTGATGAACAGAGAATACCCCCATCAAGAAGGAGCAAACGATGATATCATAGGACTATTATCTTAATGTGTACTTCACATCCAGCCCCCAAGTCTACTGGCAAATCCATATACTCTAAAATGATCCACAATTTCGCATGAACTTGGAATTCTCCTGGATTGTAGTTACACACAAAATAAACATGCAATAAAAAAATGCGAGAATCTATTTTTAAACCTCTGAATCCCTGTTCCTTTGAGTTTTACAGTTAACACACGTTTAGTTGCACTCAAGTGAAATGCATTAATATAATCGAGTTCAAGATAAGGTTGTAAGATTTTAAATTTATCGGTCAGGAGCAGTGTAAGTAGTTAGCACTCGTTCTAGCTTATGGAATTCCTGATGTGTTAACATCTCACCTGAAAAGATCTAGAAACAAACTCCTGCCACATTTCCTCGGAAAGACATTGAACTCTCTTTTTCCATCTTTAGATCGTTTATACTGACCGTCGGTGAATGGGAATTTTAAACGTTATCCACCGAAGAAAATCACTACTCTTTAACATCATGCCTGAGAGTTTAATTTTCGTGAATTCTCATTGGTGGTGGGTTTTCTCGGGGTGAGATGAATAAAAAAATTACCCTGACAACAAACGTTTGAACTGTCGACAAATTGGCCGTGGGTTTGCTGGAAACATAAATCGCAAGATGAAATTTATTTGCCATTATGATATTTGTCAAAGTGGGTGTCTGAATTTCGAAACTGTATATGTCCATTTCGAAATGAAACATTCCAAGAATCAACGAATATGTCCATAGTGTGCATCGGTTATATGTGGAAGTCGAAAGTGTTGTGGATAAGCAGCGCAGATGTCTGACTGCCATGCTCTTGTTCAATAGCCCTCTTTTGCATTCTCTAAGCCAAACCCCCGAACAAAGATCGGAAGTTCGGAAGGACGGCATTCCCTTCGAGTCGATAAGGCCTAAGATAATTTTTTCAGGAGATGAACGACTTCGGAATTCCAGTGTCAGTACACAGCGGTCAGTTCACTCAAATCCGTTATGACTCAAATTGACAAGAATAATTTAAAAGTAAAGACTCAGCTGGGGGAAGGTTGAGTTGATAATGTCAAACAAACTCGGACTAGCTACTTCACTTCCTTGGTGGCAGAAACCAAACTTGACGCTTTCAACGTAAACCTTCATCCCCTAACAGATGTTCGAGATGCTCGGTCAAAAACTGCAAAGTGGCTTTAACTTTAGTGCGGTGCGTGCACAAGCGCCAATTCTCTGTGTTAATCTGTCATTATGGTCTCACGACTAGCCCAGTTGGCGCCCCCCCGCGCCCTGCTACCTGGTCTTACTCCATTTGACCTCGAAAATTTCGTCTGCACCTACACCGCCTATATGACACAGTCAGCACGTTGAGGCCGGTGGGGCTGGGGTGAGGGGGGAAGGGAAGGGGTTCGGGTCAGGTTGTCAGACACGCGACGTCGGGCGGCGTGCTATCACCTCCTGGCGTCGGCCAAGGAAGACTGTCTGTGTCAACGTCTTCTGACAACCAAGCGCTGGGTTC